GAGAGGGGGTGGGTGGGTGGGGCTAGTACTTGCTAAGACAAGGCTGAACAATATTAAGAGTAGACACTGGAATGAAGGAGGCGGACGAGGGGCGCTATTGCTTGCTTATAAACGTCTCTACAGCAAAAAGTTAAACTTAGCCCCGCCCACCCACCCGTTCTCTCATTTTTCTTCTTAAATAAGAAATAAATCTTGAAGTAAATAGTATTACAAAAAAATTACGGTTAGCCATTTTTTTTTCCTTTTTTAATAGCTCCACTCCCATTGTACAGAAGAACATATAATTAACCACGCCCACCCACCCCGCCTCCATTTTAGTGATTCATTTTATCTGGTCTGACAGAAAGTGGATCTCATACTGAACAGAAATAAAATTAGTTCTTAGAATGAGAAAAGCGAGAAGCTGAAAAATCGAAAGTTCAAGAAATCGACACATCAAGAAAGTAGAAAATCTAAAATTTTTTAAAAAAATTGAAACATCGAATGATTGAAGAACGAAAAATCGAAAAATTGAAGTAGAAATATTGCAAAATTCCAAAACTAATACATTGAAAAATTGAGAAATCGAAAAATTCAAGAATCGAGAAATCGAAAAGTCGAAAAATCGAGAAATTGAACAATCGACAAATTGAAAAAACCCTAAACTGATAAAATAAATAATATATAAAAAAACGTTTGTAGGATTTCAAGATATTCGATTTTCAATTTCAAAGTTATATTCTAAAACGGTGTCACACAATTTTGAATGTTTTTCCAAAAATCTGGGTGCCTAGGGTAAAAACTCGACACGGATTCATAAACCACAAGTGAGGAAGTTATTTTGTAAAATTTAAAAAACTTTTTCTGTTGTGAACTTTGGAGATGATGTCATTCCATTGTCAATACGGATGAGCAGACAAATTTTGGTTAGAGTTTTACCATCCACATGATATTTCTAACATAGTTACAAAATTTGACAAAAAGCGCTCCGGTAATTACGAATATTGTCTGTCTAATAAAAATCGACACAGACGGCGAACATACAGACAGACAGACAGATAGACAAACGAAAACGGAGATCTATTTTTATTACTGTAGGGGTCATGAAACGTCGAGAAAACATGAAGGTAGCTTGTTGGCCGACGGACTAGATTTCAATACTTTTTTGGCTTACGCTCGGGAAGTAAAAGTTGAGGAGAGGTTATCAAGTTGAGGAGAGGTTATCAAGTTGTTGGTGGGGATGATAAGTAGTTAAATTTTAGTTAGCGTTTTACCATCTACATACATGTCATTTCTAACATCCATACAAAACTCGACAAGAATCGGCCCAATAGTTTCGGAGATTCTGTTTAGTAAAAATCCGAGACGACGAACAGACAGAAATGGAGGATCTATTTTTTCATACTCTAGAGGTTATGAAAACGCCAAGAAAACATGACAGTTGTCAGTCGTACGATCAATACTTTGTCCACACTCGCGTAAAAAGATGTAAAAATTATTTGGTTCGACCTTGAAGCACAATCAATTTTACAGTCAAAATTTCAATTTGCGAATTTTATTTTTTTTTATATCAATTTTTATGAGTATATTGTAACACTAGTAGGAACAGTAATGTGTATCCAGATTTTTGGAAAAATTAAGTAAACTGTTTTTGGATTAGTCAGTAAAGAGGTTTATCGGGTTTGGACTTGTCAAATTTGAAAAGATTTTCAACGTTTCACGTACTTTCGTAACGGACATCTTCAGGAAATAGAGGATAAGAACAACGAAATCTCTTCGTCAGAAGGATTTTACCTTGGAGGTCGCTCTCCTGAACTTTTCGTACGTTTTACGCCCGCGAAGTAAAAAATACTACAATCCAGTAATAAAATACAGCCAATTCTAGTTATATGAAAAAATTGAGATACAACTACATATTTGAAAATTATAGTATACAAGATTTTTTTAAGAACACTATGTTTACTAACGTTTAATTTTATTTATACTGTAACAAAGCACAATTTTTTTAACTGTCCACAAAATATTGCAGCACAAATGTTAAAAATTACCCCACTGCGACTTTTTGATTATTTTTTGCTTTGTTAACAATATTCAGGAAAATGTGAATAACTGGACAATCTCGCATTCCAGTAAAAAAAAATAGCACATGAAGAAATACGTAGCACGTTAATTTAAATAAAAATTAGTTTTCTATCTTTAGTTATAGCATAATTAGACAGACATCAAAGAGTGGAGATATTAATTGACCTTATAGATATATTTCCCGACCACAAAATTGATGACATCAAGCTAAAAATCATCAAATAAATAAACCATAATCTCGTGGTTCAGAATTGACGGAAGTTAACAATAATTTTTTAGTTTTTTCTGCTATTTAACATATATCCGTCAAAGCAGTGTTTTCTCCAAGTTTATTTTTTTTTTTTATTGATATCAGTTAGTCGTTAAAGTTTAAAGATCGGAATGAGTTAGCAAACTAAATATTTTCTTAGTATTTGTATCTGAAAAATTTCTGAGAAATTACCGTTCTAATACTTTAAAAACATTAAAAAACTATATTAAAATTTATAAAGTCATAAGTCTTCTTCTTCTCTTAATTAGAAAATCCAAAAATTAATCTATAAAGTTCAGAAAAAAAAATTCATTTAAAATTTCCAACGATACTGTCGGCAAAATAAGGAAACACTTCTCCTTTAATTGAGTTATTAATTATGACTGAAGCGCAAATGTGCTAACCTGAGGTCACGGCACGAAGAGGCTAAGTATTTACTCGCAGCCTCTCTATTTGCAAAGTTCGTAAACCCGCCGCAAAAACGACCAGTTGCTGAGAAGATAAAGAGTGTAAATGGCAAGGGATTGTATGTTTTTGAAAAGATTAATGTTTTAGCATTAGTCGGGGAAAATTAGACCGATTTAGAGCGGAAAATGTAGAAGCTACTTTGTGAAATATTCTCATAATGTAATTTCTCCGAACTGTTAGTCTAAACCGGCCGCACAGATAATTAATGTGCATAAAATAATTCGGCTTGCTCATAAAATTTTAATGTGACTACAAAGCGTTTACATGTTTTCCTCATTTTAATACAGCGTAGAATGCACGGATTACCATACATATATACAACGCATAATGTTAGTAGCAATCTCCTTTGTAATATTCTAGCGCATCGTAGAAAAAACGGCACGCAGAAAACACACTTTTTCCACCGCATGGAGATGTATTTTAATACGTTGTTTGTTAAGCTGGAGTCATCTGATTTAAAGCGACCTTCACAATCACTGCCAAGATTGGACCATTAGTTTCCAGACTCCTGCATATTCTCGAAAAAATTGCATGAATAATTAATGTATGATAATGTTTGGGGGAAGGGGCGAACGTTGCTTAAAATCAGGATGTCGTCGCCGTGGGGTAAAGTTTTGGATTAGCGAATGTTGTTAACGAATACTTGCTTCACTGATCCTGCTGAAATGCTTAGGGATGAAATTTTTTGGATTATTATGCTTTGAGCCTTGTAACTTCGGGAACATGGGTCGGTTGAGTAATTAGTAGTTGGATGGATGTATTATGTGCTTTCATATGAGCCTGTCATATAGGTATTTAAGTCGGGGTATTGAAGCAACGGATTTTTTAACCAATTTCGACGCTGAATACAAAATGGTACGAGAGAAAGCTTTACTTGATGAATTCGTTTGTCCCATTATTGCAGACGATACATATTTTCAAAATTAATGCAACTGTTAAATTATAAAATATGCATACACACTATCGCTCGTGCAGAATCATAACGATAGATAAATGGGATACGTTTTTACCTCATAATGTAACTCATAACAGTCATACTCATAACCATAACACAGACCACACCGCATCGAATTGTTTAAAATGCACATATAAATAGGCAAAATGTAAATTCTCTACAAATAGACATATGTGCAATTGTGCATTCGGCCAATCAGTCCTCAAATAAAACAGCTGCCTGTGTTTTATTAACCCCTACACTGTCCTGTCCATGAAATAGTAACAGTGTGACCCGGAAAAAACCGGATACGCTACGTTTGAAAGCGAACCGTAGCACGATCGTTTAAAAAAAAAAACAAATAGAAATACTGAAACTGAAACGCATATTTACTTAAATACCTCCACTGGATCGTGGTAGAAGAGGGTAAAAAGAGTGCAAATTAATTCACTTTACCGGCACGTACCTCGCACAATTAATTTGTATAAAGGGCTCTCATTTTTTTATTTTCGATGTTTCTACAAATATGCTCTCTAAATTTTTAGTGTTAAGATTTTTGACAGTTATCAGTAAAGAACGGATTCTAGGATGACTTTTCATTTTGTCTGTAGACAAATGCATGAAAATTATAGATATATAAATGTGTATGTGAGAAAATCCTTTTACTTGAGCCCTACTTGTTTTTGCCTATTTTGTTCTAAAATATGAATTTTCTATACCCCTAAGCACACGTTTCTTGAGAAGGTCACATTTAATATTTCCGGGACTATAAAGAAAGACATTCCAATTCCAGTTTTGGGTAAAAAGGTCACGGGAATCTTGTTAGCAAAATGCCGACAATTCAATAACCCAAATCTATTTTTCTACGTAAACCATCAAAAAACAAATTTTATTGGACAGCCAGGTAGGTAGGTAGGTGGGTTTTAAAAGAACTAAAACACCCATTTACAGTTCTTCAACATGAAAATACTCACATCAACAAAACAAATCTTACCAAAGATACCAAGCAAACTTTAATTTCCTCATTTTATAGTGAAGACCAAACGAAAAATTTTTACTACTTATGAATTATGCAGTGCATTTGTTGGGGCAAATATACCCTTGAAGAAACTTGACAACAAAACATTGCGCTTGCTTTTGGAGAGAAATTGCAAACATAACATTCATGAGGAATCAACTCTACGAAAAAATTACTTGTCCTAAGTTTATGATGATGTAAGTATTGTTACGTTGTTCGGTGATTTAAAATCGGCGTGGGTAAAACTTAACAAATTATTTCTCAATAACTCAGATTTTGTGGCGCACCGTTTCGTGAACGCTCAGCAGCTTCTTCTTCAAGTCATCGACGTAATCTATTACCTCCTTTGGTTCTTCACTCGGAGAGCCGTACAAGATGTCACAAGTACAAGAAGTTCCCTTCTGAAAACTGCCCGCCGCCGTCTGACCCGTCCTGTCATGGACAGCTGATCGATAAACCAGTAGGAACAGTAGAAGGTGTCGATCCCAATCTTCCTGATGTTCGGCCGTTACTTTCGAAAGATGTTTTTCCATGGTACGATTGATTCGTTCTACCATTCCATCTGACTGCGGGTGCAACGATGTAGTCTTCCGTATCCCTAGTACTTCAGTAACCTTTGGAATAGGGTTGACTCGAAGTTTATGCCTTGGTCTGAATGTATTTCCATTGGGACTCCAAACCTGTTGGTCCAATTGTCAATCAGCATTGTTGCAGACTGTCGACGTCAGACGTCAATTTTTGGTCATAACTCGTCGGCGACGTTCTTCGCCCAAAAAATCACGTGATAATAACGAGATTTTTATGACTTACTTCTGACGTCAATTAATGACGTCAAAAGGCCGTCTTTTCTTCGTCATTTTTTATAGATTATATGATCAATTAGATGTGGGTCGTCGTATTCTTTAAAAAGTGGCCTTCATAATGCTTAATTATATTTAGAGCAAAAAATGCAACGGCTTTACTAGAAATACACCAACGACAAGTTTTTTCATTCTAATAATTTCTAATAAAATAATAATTATTTCTGAAAACTTGTTTACTCTGGAAGTGTTATTTTGTAAGTACCTGCTTGGCAAATTATAAATAGAACATCTGGGATTGAGCGTATAAAATAGTGAAAAGACCCTACGACAAAAACAAATTCATAAAAATTCTTTGTTCATTGTTCCTAAAATGGGACAAAGTTTTGAAGAATTCCTTCGTCGAATTTTGATTTTATAAAGACGTTTATAAAGTGATGATGCTTACCAAAATAATTAGAGAGTGATTAATATTTAGTTATATTAAATTTATTTCATCTAATGAAAAATTAATGCTCAACTTCCGTATTTACTATACAATACATCAGATGTTTGGGGCGTGCATTTGGACTTTTCCTTTTTTCGGTATTCATGTTTATTGCACTTCACAGTGAAGCATTCCAATATTTCCAGTTGGTTTTCAACCACTAAAACTTTCTCGTGTATCCGTTACTCAGTTCATTTTTAACACAGTTTTGTGAAAATTTCTGGCATTCAGTGTGGGTTGTACTTATTTACACTAGGTAAGTTAATATCTAATAAAGTAATCATTTTAATTTTTACGTGTTTCTGTTATTTTTGATAACTGTACGTAGATAACAAAAGCAGTTTTTTCAGATAAGCTGGAAAGACCACCATTAATCACTGAAGATACTCCGACTGATTATGAAGAACTTACTGTGATTGTTTTTGAAAATGAGGCGCCATAAAATATTGAAAAGGTATGTTACTGAAATTTTTTATGAACTAATACTAATGAACATAATTTTATTCTAGATTTGAAACAAATACAAAACACATGTGCGAAAGGAAAGAAATGGTAAAAATGTCATCAAATCTAACAACTGAAAAAGAAAACAAAAATAGAAGTTATGCAGCCAAGACCACACCTAAACAAATTTTGACGAATTACAAGATTATCTTTGCCTATTAGAACAAGCAGATTTCTTTGTAAGTTAAAAAAATACAATGAAATCATATATGTATACATATATAACATAATATTGGATATTATACACAGGTAGATGCCTGTAATACTACGATACTTTTTGGTAACTTACTATACATGGCACATTTCGCTTCATTGTAAAAAATTATTGACAACGAGATTTTCCTGATAGGGTATGCGTTTTTGTCAATGCAACCATTTTACGATTATCCGTTAAATTCAAGTAAATTTAGCATTTTTAAAACGCAGAATTTGTCTTCTGCTTTAAGCTGTAATCCCTTAAATTTAATAATAGCCAAATACTTGCTTTTGCCCATAGACGAAAAAATGATTTCATTTCCATTAATCCATGCACTCTAACGGGTTTTTCTTTTCAGTGCAATAAATTGAGGCAGAGTTAAAAAACTTACGTTATCAGATATGATTGTTAAAACAGAATTAATTCTTAACGGTACTTTTTTGTGTGTTGGGGACAGTCAACTCGTCGTGAATTAGATAGATTTACAGTGCATTTTCAAATCAAGTAACTTCAACAATGCGATTCAATTGTCTTTTCCTTTTATTCTAGTTTTTTTTTTATATTTTTTGTAAATAGATTTGTTTGTGTTTTTAAGACTGATTTATAGTTTATAATAATTTTCTTTTAATATTCTTTGTAACTAAATAGATTTCTTTGTGTTTTTAAAACTGATTTTTCGTTAAATAGTATATTTTATTGGAACGTTTATTGTTGATTATATGTATATTGTATATTATCCTTTTTTTTTTTGTTTAAGGTAGGCGAACTTAAAATTGGGACTATTTTTGAAACGTATTTACTATTCAAACGAAAAACAATAGTGAACCAAGAACCTTATAAACTTATTTCTTAATAAGTCTCAATGTTCGATTCACAGCCACTTCATTAATTCTCTTGCGGTTGTTCCACAGCAATCGCTTGAAGTATTTTTCGTCAAATTCCTTGATTTTCTTTTTTATTCGCTGCTTCAATTGCCTAAATGTCGAAGCTGGCCAGTTTTCTTCATAATATAATTACTTTATTCTTTAAATGTGACCAAATAATGTTTACTTGAAAACGCCTTGTCGTTTTGAAACGAAAAATAGGATTAATCATCATAAATGATGTCTTTTTTGCCACTGAGTTTGAAATCGCCAGAAAATAGGACATTTAGTCTGGCTCTTTGTCGTTCTTGTCGTTCAGGGGTCGATTTCCATGCATCTATTTTGGTAAAACGGTTAATTCCTTTTTGTTTTAATATTTTCGATATATGCCGATCTGACACATGATATTTTCTTGCTAACTTCGATGCAGTCGCCCCATTTTTCTTTGAAAGTTTAACAATCTTCCGAATTTCTCCTTCCGTTAATTTTCTTCTTTTTTTTTCCAGACTCTTCTTTCCTTTCTATTCCACCACCTCCATCCAATGTTTCCCAAACTCTATACACAGTGGTTTTCCCAATTACATAATTTTTTAATCCCTTAACCACCAAATATGGAGTAATCTTTGACTGCCTGTCATACACTAAATTTATTAATTTTCTTTTTTCAAGTTCTTTTAGTGGGGTAATTGCTAATATGACAGTTTGGCTTAAAAATAAATTATCATTATCACAATCTAAACGTCATATTTAATACAGCCCTAAGCAAATTGCTTCTTTATACAAAAATTGTGGAAATTAATTATAGTCCCGATTTTAAGTTCGCATACCTTATACCATATATCTAATACTACTATATTGCTAACTCTTCAGAAGTAACATAAAAACGGTGTTCACGGACAGAAAGGGACAGAAGATGTTGTTTTCTGTCTATAAGAGTACTGAGGGTCTGTGCGCATGTACACAAAATAGAAGCGAAAGTACGAAATGTCAAAACGCATCCAGTCACGCTATCGACTACAAATCAAGCAAGTACGAGTGTATGCGCAGTACTGTTTAGTACCACAGACAGACAGAGAGGTCCGATATATTGCTCTGCCGTTATGTTTTCGGACGCTTTTGAGGCCAGTTAGTTGACATATATTTTTTTATTTGTTAACTGAAGTTTATTGTTGGTTGTACAGAATTGTAGTAAATTTATTTTTTTACACTAATTTGTTTTAACTTTAATTAATATATATTTTGTTTTAGGGTTTACCTGGTGATTATAACGAATTATAATATTTTATTTAAGGTAAACAATATAAAATTATAAAATTATTTCAGCGTTTTATTTATTGCATATTTTTTTCTAAAAATCAAAATATAAAACAATGTCTTAAAATGGACAATAAATGCCTTCTCTAAGATGTCAGTACATCACGTCAATAGTTCGTTACAAAATCACGTCATCTAGACGAGACATATGACCGTCATTGGTACGTCAATATCACGTGAAATCTTTGGTCACTATGACGTAAATGATGACCATTTATTCACGTGAAAAAGACGACATCATGTTGCGTGGGAACTTGGGTTGCAAAAACTTGTTTCAAATGTTCATCCCCAAATCGAAGTTTTAGAGCATCAGTCTTCCGAATTCCTGTCTAAACTGCCTGTAGATATCCCGTAAAGTCAATTATGGATCTTGAATTTCACTCCTGACACCAGTGTTGCGTTGTTCGGTGATTTAAAATCGACGTGGGTAAAACTTAATAATTTATTTCTCAAGAACTCAAATTTTACACGACTATACAGCAATTATGTAGAAAATAATTTCGGCGCAACTTGACTGAATTCGTTCGTTGGACTTGACTCGCTGACTGAAATATATCGTTTTCGAAAGTAGCCTCTATTTAAACCCATACTTTCCTTCTAGATATTTCGTGATCGATGTCTTTCTGTAATACCCATCGCGACTTCCGCTTTCAGGTTTTTCTTTAGCCAGTGCCGGCCGGCTGTCGTCACCGACGATGAGTCACCCATCATCGCCGTACATACTAGAACCCATAGGCGTTGCAACGGGGCGGCGTATGGGTTTCTTTCGTAATAGTATTGTGTGATTAGATAGAAACTTAGATTTGGGAACATCCTAATTTTTACTGTTTTGTAGGTGATTAATAGAGTTAGAACAGATATTGGGATTTACAGTATTTGTATAGTAGTAGATGAAACTACAAATTCTAATGGGCAATACGTTGCAAAAACATTGCAGTGGGAAATTTTTTTTTTCCCAAAAAAATTTTGTCACCAATTTAGATGCGCGAGTCTTAGATTTAGTTTTATGCGATGTCGGATGCTCGGTAATCCACTCAGAAGAAATACTAACTTCAGAAGATGTGCATCATCCTGCCTTAGAGATTACTGTAAAAAATGTAAAAAATAAGTTGGCACACATTCGCACCAGGAATGGTGGCGAATTTAATTTTAAAAAAGCTGATTTTCCATCCTTATATCGCAACATAGCAGAAACTGACTTTTTTTTTCTAAATTCCATAACAGATGTGAATAGGGCTGTTGAATTACTTTATGACAAGTTGTATAAAATCTTCAATTTTTTTGTGCCCAAGAAAAGGCAGCCAACCAGAATTTACTCAGAATGGTTTAACAAAGAAATTATAGTTAATCTTAAACAAAAACACTAAGCTTGGATAAAGTACAAAAATGATAAATCACTTGTATCTTTTGAAATATTTAAAATCTACCGCAGTAAAGTAAAAAATTTAATTAGAAGTGCTCATAAAAATTATTTACGACGAATTACAGAAGAAATAAAAATAAATCCAAAACAATTTTGGGCTTTTATTAAAAACAAAACGAATACCCAATGTGATGAAATATAATGACAGCGATTTAACGTCAGCAGAAGATATAGTCAATGCGTTTGCTGAATCGTTTGTTAAATCATTCAAACAAGGTAATAACACCAACTCTGTAGTATTTGAGGAAAACTTAAGTAGTCTAAATAAAAACATCTTATATGTTAAAAATGTTGATTCCAGAGAAATTTGCAATTCGATTAAACTACTTAAGCCAACTTTGACAGCTGGTCCAGATGCTATTCCCTCATTTCTCATTCGTGATTGTGCGTCAGTTTTATGTGAACCGTTGTCTGTTATTTTTAATTTGATATTAAGAACATCTATTTTTCCAGAAAAGTGGAAACTATCACGCATTATACCTGTCCATAAGAAAAATAGTACAAGTGACATAACAAATTATCGTCCAATCACAATTATTAACAATTTTGCAAAAATATTTGAAATTCTACTTCATTCTCGAATATGTAATCACGTTTCCACTTATTTGTCCCCAAATCAACATGGTTTTAGAAAGGGAAAGTCAACAACCACAAACTTATTTTTAAAAACACAGTTTATTTCAGACTATTTAGATCTGTGTAGTCAGATGGACTGCATATATATAGGTTTTTCTAAGGCGTTTGATCGCATAAATCATTCATCAGAATTTTATTGCTTAAAAACATTCAATAGTAGATTGTGAAGATATTCTGAACCTTTTGTATTTCAAAGCCTGCGGAACTAACTTAAGATTTAGTTTAGTCTTAGAGGCACGACGACCAAAAACCAATGGTACTAAAGTGTCACCCCTCTATCAGATGATAAGAAACTATATGCAGATAGAAAATGAGGTGGATATCTTCAATTGCACAATTCGTGATATCAAAATCTGTTACAAATTATAATGGTAGCTACTATCCTGCACTCACTTTCATGTATTCTATGGTTTTCCCCTTTTTCTTTTCTTTTTTTTTTATTTTTTGTGTCCTTTTTCACATGTATGTCTTTCACTAAAGGTGCCCTAGCCTGTTGAAAGACTATTAACAATAATAATAATAATAATAACAGAAAGGATGTATTAAAGGATCCTTTGGTTGCAAAGAGCAATTAATCATAGATTCCATCATCTGTGAACAAGCTAGAAAAGAAAACCGAAACATATATACTGCTTTTATTGATTACTAGTTGACCCCGTGAACTTCGTTTCACCTACAACTTAATTTTGAATCTGCAAACCGAATGCTTTGAAATCTTGCAGATGTTTTAAATATCTGATAAGCATAATAAATTTTTATTCAAAATAATACTTACTTCCTCCAAAAAATTGATGACATCAGCCCAAAATTTTGCCAAATGAATCCTTTTTAAAATATCCATTTTCGTTCGTGTTCACATATTGTGATTTATCATTCCATTC